ACACATACATTAAGAGAAAGCAACTGAGGGTCTGGAGTTGTGGCTCAGTGGTAGAGCACTTGCCTGGCATGTGTGAGGTCCTGGGTTCAATTCTCAGCACCGAAAATAAATAAATAAACAAACAAACAAATAAATAAATAAATGATGTATTTACAACCAAAAATTATTAAAAAAGAGAGAGAGAGAGAGAGCGAGAGAGCAATTGAGAATTGTTTTCTAAGGTGAAATGCATTTTATTATTATTTTTAAATGAAAGGCATTTTAGATATACAGTTTGATATTGCTTTTATTCCCAGGTATATGTGGATAGTTTATGAGTAAAGGGAATAAAAAAGAAGAAAGTAGAGCTAGGGATGTAGCTTAGTGGTAAAGTGCTTGCCTAGCATGCGTGAGGCCCTGGATTCAACTCCCAGTAGTACAAAAAAGAAAGAAGGAAAAGAAAGTGTACAGTATGTAAACAGACAAGACTTAAAAACAATATCAAACTCAGTAGCAACAAGCATCCATGACACTCACACTGTGAACCTAAAATACCATTTCCCACTTAAAAAAAAAAAAAATAGGGCTTCTTGGAGAAATTGGCGTATTCAGGTTTGGTGCAGGAATTGTACTTAGAGGGAAAAGCAACATTCCTACTTTGTGCTAAATAACATAAAGGCAGCCCTACTTTCTTGCCCTTCATTTTTAAGTTGAAGGCTAAAAGCAGGGTGGGAGTATAAGAATTTAAGGAAATAAAAACACCATTGTCCAAAGAGTTCTATTACATGTAACCCATTCAACTGACCCTTCTGTATCTAGATGCAGGAAAGTGGTTAATAAAACTTCCACTGGTTGGCCTGAGACTGCTGCAAAATTTTATCATAAAAGCACCAGTGATATCTTACTGAACCTACTCCGAAAAGAAAATCAAACTTAAAAAGCTAGATGTATAATAAAACATAAAAACTCTAGAGTCCTTCTGTCACTTCTGAAGAAATGTTCAGAAGAAAGAACATCATAGTTAGAATGTTTTAGATAAAAAACAAAAGTGAAATTAATCATTTTGGCAAAACTGACAGTCTGATAATCTATAAAAATCAGACCCACAGAAGGGAAATTGCCATTCACAGTGAAGCCACTCACTGCTCTATATTTCTCAAGTATCTAATAATGAAACTCCTCTCCTTTCTTCTTCAATGTCTCCAAATAACTACCTTCCATTTCCCTTATTCTCAGCCCAGGTTTCTATAAAAATAAACTTTAGTACACTGGCATGGAAAAAAATGGTATTTAATAATTTAAGACATTGCACTTATAAACTTTACTATTATTCTTTTTGAACATGTTAACAAATGCATATATAAAAAATCCAATTAAGCCAAAGGAATATACAGTAAAAAAATGACTCTCCCTAACCCCTACACCACAGCTGGCCAGTTCTCTTTCTCAAGTAATCACTGCCACCAATTTCTACATTAATGAACTTTTAATAAATTATTTACATACTGCAGCTAGCTCAGAGGAGTATGCCTCCTTAGTATGCAGGAGGCCCTGGGTTTGTACATGCACGCTCGCACGCGCGTGCACACACATACAAAAAAAGGCAAATGAAGGGGTGGGTTAAAAAAACAAAAAAGGAAACCTTGTTAAAATGAAACTTAATAGAAAAGCAGGGAAGGGGTTAATCATCTTTATAAGCAAAATCAATTTCTGAAAAAACTTTCCTCCCAGGCCTGGCATGTGTAGCTCAGAGGTAGAGCATTTGTCTATCATGTACAAGGCCCTGGGTTTGATCCCCAGAATCACAAAAACAAACATAAAACAACTTTCCTCCTTGTAAATAAAGTTAATTTGACGTGTATCAAACCACTGAAAATGAAGTACAAGAAAACTTCCTGTTACTACTTCATTGTCCTTCAGTCCTAGATGGTGAAAGCAATACACAATTAAAGGAAAACACAAAATGATAAGAAGCAAGATTCTTCCACCAGTGACTGATGGGCTGGGGGCGGGGAAGAAGAGATGAGGAGAAGAAGAGATAGTATTAAAAAAAAAAGCAAATTTTTTTTCTTAGAGTGAATATTTATATGGTGCAATTAGATCATAAACTGTCAACATTTTTCCTAATGATTTGGGGTTACCCTCCTTCCCCAAATAAATCTTCCATATGAAGACAGAGGCAATGTCACCTCTATCCCAACAAGAAAAAGCCAGACCAACCACTGAATCATAACTTGGAATTCACCAGAGGGCTACTTAGGACCACCAAGTAGTAAAAATCCAAATAAAGACAAGCCCCTAAAGGAGATGTGAAGGGTGAGCACTAGCTCTCATGTGTCAGACCATGTGCAAAAGTGATGCAATATCAGCAGGTAGAAAAAGTTCAGCTAACTGAAGAATCCCTGGGATCCACAATTACCCAATGGATTCACACCTAAATTGGATGACTGTCTTCACTAGATGAGTTTTTTAAAAGGCTTGAGGCAGCATGGAAGATTAGAGGGTCTCCATTGGAGCTATAGCCCTGGTGGTGCAGACCTGGAGGAAGCTACCACTAAAAGAAAGACAAGGGGCTGGGGCTGTAGCTCAATGTCAGAGCACTTGCTTAGCATGTGTGAGGCTCTGTTCAGGATCCCCAGGATGAAGTAGGGGGTATACATATTACATAAAGGAAAAAAAGGTAAGACGGGAAGACATAACAATCTAAATGTAGATGTATACGTGTGATAACAGATCTTCAAAAACACAAACCAAAACTGAAAGAACTTATGAATTAAAATACAAAATGACACAGAATTCAATCTTAGAGATCATCAGAACAAGCAAACAGAAGTTTAATAAAGATACAGAAAACCAAACACTTTAACATTAACATTCCAACCAATAATAGCATAATGCATATTATTTTAAGGCTTGCAGGATATTGACCAAATAGAATTTACTGTAGATCACAAAACAAACCTTGACAATTAAAATAAACTAAAATTTCAATGATATCTTCTGATAGCTATAGAACTAAACTAAAAAATCAATTACAGAAAGCTATCTGAAAACTCGCGGAATGCTACAAATTAAGCAATATCCTTAATAAACCACAGTTCAAAGAGAAATTCACAAGGGAAACTAGGTTTAATTGAATGGAAATAAAAAATACAACATATTAAAATCCATGGGACAGCATGTGATGGCACATGCCTAAAATTCCAGCAGTTCAGGATGCTGAGGCAGAAGGATCCTGAGTTCAAACCCAGCTTCAGCAACTCAGCAAGAACCTAAAAAACTCAATAAGGCCCTGTGTCTAAATAAAAATGTAAAAGATGGACTACAGATGTGGCTCAGTGGTTAAGCGCCCCAGGATTCAATCCATGGTCCAAAAAAAAGAAAAAAAAATAGGGTCTCTAACCAACTGTCTATGCAGCCACAGTAAGTAAAATGAGCAAATCAACTCAAAGTAAAAAGAAAGAAGAAAATAATAAAGATATAAGCAGAATTGAAAACAGAAAGACAGTAGAAAAAAATTAATAGAACCCAAAAGCTAAATCTTTAAAAATATCAAGATAATTGATATATCTATATCTAGACTTACCAAGAAAAAGGATACAAATTGTCCATAAGGAAAGAAAGAAGGGTCATAACAATAGGCCCTTGAACATTAAAAAAGATTTTTATCTCCATTAATTTGACAACTTAGAGAAAATGAACCAAGGAACTCCTAGAAAGATGCAAATTAGGGCTGAGGAATATAGCTCAATGGTAAAGCACTTGCTTAGCATGCATGATACCCTAGGTTCAATCCCCAATGGATATAAAGGAGGTGAGGGGAAACAAAGATACAAATTACCAAAACTCACTTGACAAGAAATAGACAACCTAAATAATCCTCCTATTCTCACTCTTCAACTGGGGACTGAAACCAGGAGCTTGCACATGCTAGGCAAGCACTCAAGTACTGAGGGACATCCCCAGTCCTCTCTCTTTCTTCCTTCCTTTCCTTCCTTCCCTTTTTTCTTTCTTTCCTCCTTTTCTTTCCTCCCTCCCTCCCTTCCTTCCTTCCTTCCTTTCTTTCTTTTAAGAGGGTCTTGCTAAACTGCCCTGATTGGTCTTGAACTGGGTGAGATCCTCCTGACTCAGTCTCCCAAGTAGCTTAGATTATAGCTGTGTGCCACTATACCCAGTTAGTCCTATTATCTCAATGAAATTTAATTCCTAGTTTTAAAAAGTTGACAAAACTAGGCATAGATGGATTAATTGATGAATTCCATCAAACATTAAAAAGAAGAAAACAATATCCATTACATACAAATTATTCTGGAAAACAAAAGAGGGGGGGATACTTTCCCAACTCATTTTATGGAGTCAGCATGACCTCAATTCTAAAGCCTGACAAAGATGTTACCAGACAATGAAAGACCAATATCCCTCATGAATATTGCTGTAAAAATCCTCAACCAAATATTTAGCAAATCTGATTCAGAAATATATAAAAACAGCAAATCTCTTTTAAAGGCTTTAATCCATTTTTTAATCCTGACCTGAAGTGACTCTAAAAACAATAAATGGTGTCTCATTCCCATCTAAGATAAATTCTAATTTAAGTACATAATTTTATGTATCTAACTTTACAAGGCTATTTTCAAAGGAAAGGCACAGTAAGGAAATTAAGAAGTAGATTATATAAGAGTTGAAATATCACAGAAGAAACTTTAGATTTAAAGTGATTTATAGGGGCTCAGGAAATAGCTCAACTGGTAGAGTGCTTGACTATCATGCACAAGCCCCCCCCCCAACACACACACACACAAAGTAATTTATAGTCTCATGAACACACACTTAATTAAAGGTAATGAGTCTGTCTCTCCAGTTTCTAACAAAGAAATTTAAAGAGAAAGTTACTAGCCTATACTAAAAAACTTGAATGAGTTTCCTCAGGGTTTCTAAGATTATGACCCAAATCATAAACTCCAATGTACTTTCTGAACATTGACTTAAATACTTAAATACAGTTTGACTTAAATACTTACCTTCAATCTGGCTGGTATCTGAGAATGGTTTCTTCTTTGACTCAGAGTTCTCAGTTTTCTCGTCCACATCCAGGAGAGGAATATAGTCTGTTTTTCCAACAGTTTCCCCCACAACATCCTCAAAGGCCTCTGACTCCAGTGTGGCAATGAAGTCCCGCTTTATCTCTTCCTCAATTTCTGGAGGTGGCTCTGTTAATGCATCTGCAAGACTGAGGTCAGCCATTCTGTACTGTTGCAACTGCCTGTTTAAGGGGAAAGAGATACTTCATTTGATGAGCACAGCAAAGGGAAAGATTTTTCTAGACACTCTCATGCCTTGCCTTTTTTTAAAAAAGAGGCATAATCAAAAATTTTACAGGTAGGGCTGGGGTTACGGCTCAGAGGTAGAGCATTTGCCTAGCATGTGTGAGGCACTGGGTTTGATTCTCAGCAACACATATAAATAAATGAATACTTTACTTTAAAGGTCCCTCAACATCTAAAAAAAAAAAAGAGAGGCTTCCTTATTTGAAAAATGATAAAAGTAACGCAAAAGCATTTTGCCTTTTTTTTTCCGTTTAATAAAATTAAATACCTTTATTTTATTTATTTATTTTATGTGGTGTTGAGGATCTAACTCACTACCTTACATGCCAGGCAAGCACTCTTCCACGGAGCTACAATCCCAGCTCCTTTTTATTAATGTTTTATTAAATACCAAAAAAATCATGTTCCAGAAAAGTTTTTTAAAAAGAATACAAAAAATGGTCAGGTGAGAATATTCCCATAAAATATATTACATTATTATCAGGTGAATGAAAGAGGCTTTCTGACTGAAGACTTGAGTATGGGCCTTTTCTCCGAGTGAGTTCTCCTTCACCAGTCACATGGGATAGCCCCATCCACCAAACCACAACCTTCAGCACTGGCATGAAAAATACAGACATGTCCCCGAATTAGGTAAGGAAGATGGCCACATATATTACTATTTTCATAGAATCCCAAACTCTTAATTTTCAAAGATAATCTGAAGCTAAGAAGTATAATTTATTATAGGAACAACTAAAGATGGCTAGCCTGGAAAATACAAAAATCATGTCGTAAAAAGAGCCCAACAGGGCTGCAATAAACTAAACATTAAGTACTTGCAGAGTACAAACATAATACAGAATACTATCCCTGCTTTCAAAGAGTCTAATTTACTACAAACTCCAAGAGACTCATAAGGATAAGGTGAACTATGAGCCATACTATTGAGTGGGTAAATGTAAGTCAAATAGCAATCCTTAGTTGCATAGTGTAATGATCATTGCTTGTGTTCACCAATAAATTTATTCTTCTGATCTCACCCAATACAAACAAACCAGTCCCCATCCCCACAGGATTAGGGCTAAAACTAAAAGTCTAAAAAAAAAACAATTAGAAGAGGACAATTTTGTGACTACACTCTGAAAAGAAGGCTCATTTTGTTCTTTCAAGGAGAAATGAATTTTCTTCCCATAAATCTTTCTTTTGCTTAATCAGGTAATCTACTTCAGTTGCCTACAACCAATCTCAATGTATGTATCTTGCCCTAAAAAAAAATAATAATAATAATACTAGGGATAGAACCCATGGACAATTTATCACTAAGCTACATCCCCAGTCCTTTTATTTGAGATACAGACTTGCTAGTTTACTTAAAAGTCTCACTGAGTTGCCAAGACTGGCCTTGAACTTGTGATCCTCCTGCCTCAGCAACCTGAGTCTCTGGGATTACAGGTATGCACCCACACCCGACTGCTAACCCAAATTTTTAAAAAGTCAAAATGTATTATGATTCAAGCCACCAAATGGTCAGGGTTTCCTTTCAAGCTCTTCTCAACCATCTACCTCTCCACAACAAATGAAGGACACAGTGAGGAATGTAGTCATTCTCTTCAGTCTTGTTCTCACACATCCTGTCCTCCCACTTACAGTATCCTTTCTTTGCTAGAAATATAAAAGTCACAGAACTTTTCACTCATTATTCTTTGTTTGTTTGTTTCCACCAAGATGTGTGGCCATCACAATTATAAAACGTGTACAAAGCAAATATTTCTAGAACCCTAAAAAATCAGGGGTCATTCTATCCCCAAAACCCAAATCCAACACCTAAAGGCTTTGCTGTATGTTTCAATGGTCAAAGTATAATGTGGAGAGCCATTCTGACACGTGACTGGGCGGCTCCTGTTAAGGGTCTGAGGCGTTCTGGCCCTTTCCTGATGAGAGAACCCGTCCGTGTGGGGGTGTGACTGACCACTGACCCCGGGGACCCAATCACTGACCCTGACCTTAGAGTGCGGCCCCCCCCCTCAACCTTCATTGGATGGAATTATCCCCTGAAATTCTTGTTCCCCAATAAAAGGCTACTCCCTGGCGTGCTTGCTCTCTCTCTCCTGCTAGCCCTGAGTAATCCTTACTGCCCTACGGGTGGTTCGAGGTTGGAGCCAGAGAGGGGAGCCGTCTGGGACCTGGTCATAGAAAAAGGTAACTGAGTCTGTGTGTTTTATTTCGATTTCTGCTAGCTAACTTTTATGCCAAGAACCTCATTAATGAAACCAATGCGCAGGCCGCATGGTGGAGTATAAGGTTGAAGGCATAGGTGTTTAAATACTGAATAGCATCAACTACTGAATTCTACTACACAAAACAAAGTACAGATGGGATAATGAAGCCTGGGAACAAGATCTGTTTCTTCTAAGCAGGTGCTAGTAAATAAGATATTTTTCCAGCACAGGGAATGCTGGAGGAAATTTGTCCAGATGTATATGGGGCTTGGTGAAAATAGTCATTATATATTCCTTATACTATGTAAGAAAAAATAAAATATCAAGATTTAGAAAGATATTAAATACTTAATTTACATAGACTTCCAAATAAAACCTTTTCAAAATTTTAATAAATTTGAGCCTTCTTCCATGTGACTTTTTAATATCAGGCTTCCTACTTGGAGTAGTTACTTTAATTCCTGATCAAGAGTTTCAATAAGGCCAGGCACAGTGACACTCACCTGTAATCCCATTGACTTTGGAGGCTAAGGCAGGAAGATTGTGAGTTCAAAGCCAGCCTCAGCAACTTAGTGAGACCCTGTTTCTAAATAAATATAAAAAAGGGCTGGGGATGTGGTTCATCATTAAGCACCCCTGGGTTCAATCCTGGTACCGAAAAAGAAAAAGAATTATAAATGACTGGGCTGGGGTTGTTGCTCAGTGTAAGAGTACTTCCTTAGTATTATGAGGTCCTGGTTCAATCTTCAGGTACTGAGCAGGTAGCAGGATTGAATTCAGGGGCACTTGACCGCTCAGTCACACCCCCAGCCCTATTTTGTATTTTATTTGCTTATATTTTATTTAGTTGCCAAGTATCTCACCACTGCTAAGGCTGGCTTTGAACTCCTGATCCTCCTGAGTCAGCCTCCAGAGCTGCTGGGATTTCAGGTGTGCGCCACCATGAGTGACCCATCCCCTTTTTTTTAAACAGGCAAAGTCTAGATTTATTGAAAGCAAAGGTAGCACTCCTTAAGATAGATTGGAGTGGGCTGAGCAAGAGAGAGGCTCAAGTTCCCACTGTCTGGAAAATTAGTGTTTTATATGCTCATCTCATCATTTTTTAAAACGGTAGGGGCTGGGGATGTGGCTCAAGCGGTAGCGCGCTCGCCTGGCATGCGAGCGGCCCGGGTTCGATCCTCAGCACCACATACAAACAAAGATGTTGTGTCCGCTGAGAACTAAAAAATAAATATTAAAAAATTCTCTCTCTCTCTCTCTCTCTCTCTCTCTCCCCTTAAAAAAAAAAAAAACCAATACTTTAAAAAAAAAACGGTAGATTTTTTTTTAAAAAAAATCCTTTTCTTAAAACAAATGTGATATTTAAATTTCCTGTGGCTTGGGGGAGTAGCTCAGTGACAGAGCACTTGCCTAGCACATGTGAGGCACCACATTAAAATAAAGGAATGATGTCCATCTACAGCTACAAAAATAAAAAATAAAAAGTAAAAGTAAATTTCCTATGGCTTGAATTCCTTAATCACATTTTTTTTTTCAAATCTAGTATTTCAAATCAATAAAAACTGGCTTCATGCATACAGAAATGTTACACCAACTTCAATTCAACTCCTAAAGAATAGTGGTAAACACCACTCTTCGCTTTTGTAAAGTAATTATGAATTAAATTATTTATAAATTTGCATTTCAAACCTGAGGTTTATTTTGAAGCCATAAACTCTGTCATAGTAGTACTATACTCCTTCAGTGCTAAGAGCCAAGTATATGATGCATGGCATTTTTGGTCGAAAGGTGACGCCAGCTAGTCATTGAGATGATATGATTATGTTAAGATTTGCATTCATATGGATCTTGGACTCCTGCTGTTCACCTAGGCCAGCTACGGGACTCCTGGAGAGTTCCCATTGGTTGGGGAAGTACAGTAGGAGGGAGTTCCGGGGGAGGGGCGCTCTCTGAGGGTCCAGGAGGAGGCCACGTGGGTGGATCGAAAATCTTCCCGGGGGGCATACCGGACATTGGTGGCAGTTTCAAAAAATAATAAAAGTTTGTTCCTGCTTGAGTGGCTCGTGATTTTGTGCCCAGCCAGACTGCGACAACTGGCGGCCCGCACGGGGAACACCTGAAGCTTGGAGGTGAGTAAAATTGCTCGCCCCTGAGGGAAGGCAACAAAATGGGTGACCATTTCAAAAAACAATGTGTTCTCGTTTTGATTTATCTTGTTTTTGTTTCAAGCTGCCTATCCCTAGAATTTTCTCAGGCAAACTGGGAAAAATGGTTGGCTCAAGGTTTGAAGTTGTTCAGCCCTGAGAAAGAGAAAACTGATACAACTATTCTTTGTTCGGTTTTTGTTTCATTCTGTTTCGGTTTTGTTTTATGCTATCTTATTGGGTTGCGTTACCTTTATAGTAGATTAGAAACTAGTAAAAAACAAACCGAAAGACTGTTAAGTAAATTGTTAGAGGTCCAGACTATGGTAGAAAACATGTTAGGTCAAGCGAAAAAGAAGGTCTCTCAAGCTAGTCAGACAGAGGAAGATTTGAAGAAAGAAAGCTTAGAGAAAAAACAACCATCAGGCGGGGAATTACAACAGGAGGCTGCTACTAACCCCGTTCTATCACCAGAGGGCATAATTCAACCAACAGCTCCATCTACAGCTGAGCGGCCCTCAACTCCCATAGTTGATGGACGGAATCCTGAGGCAGGACCCCAAAGATTAGCATGCCCTGTACTTAAGCAGG